CGAAGGGACAGGCCACCTTGTCCAGCGCCCGCTGCACAGCCTGACCCCGCACAGCGTCTCCGCGAGCTGCTGCCCAGCGTCTGACGGAGCGCCGTACGCGTCCCTCCGCCTCCTACGCGCTTCAGGGAGGGCTGCAGGCCCGCTGCTCCCTTCTGCTCCCTCACGGGAGGTGAACGTTACACAGCACTCGACACGGGCTTTCGGGAACAGAGCGCGCCACAGGGAGGCGGCGCTCAGCGCTGCTCCAGAGCCAGCTTCTCCTCGCGCCACGGACAACGCGGGCTCCTCCTGGGCAGCAGCGAACACTCGGCCGCGACGCTGCGCAGCTCCTCCGAGAGCAAAGCGTGTGCGAGGTTCCTTCCAGCCAACACACCGCCCAGGCTGCGCTGCACCACATTAACGATGCAATTAGCATCAAAACAAAGAGAGTGATCACCACATCTTAGGCAGCACTAAATTATGGAATGGGTAGGAACAAATAGGTGCACAGGCATTAAGTCAGCTCTGCTGCTAAATAAACTATACATCAGGTTCATCCACGCCTCGGCGCAAGCCAGCGGTGGGAAAGGTGAATCCCAGCTGCCACACGAAGCGCAGGAGCTGCTCCAACAGAGGTGACTTCACAGCGTCATGCTTTGTGCGTCGGGGCCTGACTACACCAACCAAGAAACTTCAACCAAGTCTGAACTCACATGACGAAAAGAGGCGGTTTTAAGCGCATTACCCAGTAACTAGGTGACCTGAAAAAGCTCACTTCCAGCCCCCCAGGCACAGCCCAACCGGCGCGCGGAGCAACCGGGATGAGTTAGGAGAAGAAGAAAGCAGAGGAGTGGGTGGGTGGTTTTCCCTGGCGAGGGCACGGGGACCAGAAGGCAGCTCCAAAGGAAGGGCTTCACAGCATGGCTGCGCCAGCAGACCCCCAGCGGGGACGCGCCCCGTCTTTGCAAGCGTTTATTGCCGCAGAACCCACTGCCGTGTCGCGACCGTGCCGTCGCAGCTGGCGGGGAGCCCCGCGCTCCCCAGCTGCAGGGACAGACCCCACCGGACACCTGGTGGGCTCTCACCCCAGGCATGGCTGGAACATGGACAGGACCCTGAACACGACAGCGACCACAGCTGCCACGCGCTCCCCCTCGCTGACGCATCCTCCCAGCAGT